ATGCCATTTGAACTCTTGCTCTTTATTCTTTTCTTAAATTGTTATTATAAAGGTGATGTACACAGAGGCTACAGTTACCCAAGTCAGGTAATGAGTACATTTCTTTTTGGACAATGTCACTCCATTCCTCACTGTCTCCCAGTTTTAGTTTTTCTTTCCATCTCCACCCACAAGTTGTATAGTTCATTTTCAACATTGTGTCTTGTGAGCACCACTGCTGTTCTTATTTACCTTTTATACCTCCATTTCTGTTCTTTATTCTTTAAACTGACCATTCTTCAAAAGATTCGTGGTAGGGTGGTGGATATTTTCAGACGTGGTATAAAGTGAGGCTAAAAATTCCCTTTTTGGTCCAGCCATATGGGCCAACGCAGCCCCTCTAAGGTAACTCCTTACAAAGTTGTCTTAACAGAAAAGGGAAAACTTCTTTAATTTAGTGTCCTTGAAGAGAATTTAAGAATCTACCCTGAACATTTAAGACAGCTTCAGGAACCAGTTATGATTATGGTGTTTATAGAGTTAATGCTCTTTTTTGCCAACTGAAATATTGGCATCTTATACAAATAGTAAGCCCTCAAAATATGAGTGCATGCTAGCATGGAATAGAATTAAGCTTCTCTTTCTTAAAAGACTTTTTGATTCAGTTACTTTCTTTCTGTTTAAATTTCCCAAGCTTCTTTAGCTTTCCAGCTAATACCAAAACTTCTCCAAAAAGATAGAGCCAGAAATTAATTTACTTCAAAGTTAAAATAACTGGTGATGGCTGAAAGTATTTCTTCTCCAGGGATATTTGAATAGGAATAATGCCTTTGATAAAATATTTGCAGTACTTCTATTATTTTATGACAAGCCCTAATGAGAAATGAAAGGAAAGATTTCTTGTGAATGAGAGGTTGGAAGATAATTGAATCATTTGACAAGCAGAGAGAAACCACTGTACTTGAAGTAAATCTATTTTTGGGTTAACTATTCATAAAAACAAATGGACATGGTTTCCTTTCAAGTCAGTCCTCAGTATCCATGAGTTCTGCATCCATGGATTCAAACAATCATTAATAGAAATAGTGAACAAACTGCATCTGTACTGAATAAGCACAGAATTTTCATTATCTAAAGAATGCAGCATGAAACTATAGAACATTTACATTTATATATGAGGTATTATAAATCACCTAGAGATGATTTACTGTATACAGGAGGACATGGGTAAGTTATACACAAATATAATGATATTTTAGGTAAGGGACTTGATTATCTGTGGATTCTGGTGCACATGGGGATACCAAAGTAATGGCTTATACTTGTCTAGCAAGTTAGCCCTTCAGCCAAGGTCATCAATCTAGAATGAGACAAGATGCCTTGCCACTGTAAGACAGCTTCTGCCATTTTAAAGGTAAATTTGGGTGGATATATCAGGAATAAGGAGAAACTTCGCCAAAATGTCATGCAGGTAGAAGACAGAACTTTATGTAGTCTAATAGAAATATAAAACATGATGTTCTAAACTGTATACCAGTGGCTCAGGCCTACAATCCTGGCTACTCAAGAATCTGAGATCTGAGGATCTCAGTTTAAAGTAGCCCAGAAAGAAAAGTCTGAGTGGCTCTATCCCCAATTAGCAAGCAAAATAGCTAGACTGGAGGTATGGCTCAAGTGAGACATTGTCAGCTATGAGCTAAACAACTCAGGGAGAGCATAAAAACATGAGTTCACATCCTGGTAGCTGCACAAAATTAAATAAGTAAATAACATAACATTGTGCTCTGGAGAGCTCTGGATTATAGTAAAGCAATTCAATAAATAAAATTCTTTCTAAAATTATAAATTACAGGAATCTTAGAAACTGATTAAACCTAGAATGATTCCAGTGGAAGTCAATCAGATAGTATTTAAAAAAACAAGAACAGTTATCCATTTACAAATCATGTGATCTCACTTGAAATGTTTGGGTCATATTTCTGTCCAATAGAATAAAGATTTCCAGATTACCTTGTGAATAAGCCTCTATTTTGAACTAATTAAATACTATCTATAAAACAATTGCACAAATATTCTCTATAAACAGATAGGTATATAATACTAGTTTCTGGATTATTTGTTTCTATACATTCTTTTTATTTTTTTTTACAGGGTCTCAGTATGGAACCCATACTGGCTTTGATCTTCCTGCCCCAGCCTCCCTAGTGCTGTGATTATAGGCGTGCACCATCATGTCATGCCCAGACTCTTTAGCAATTTCACCATGGTGCCATCAAGGTAAAAGACATGACTGTGCTTTGGAAATTTTTAAACAATATTTTTTTTAATTTCTAGATTACAGGAAATATTAACACCATTTGCGTTAACTTTTACTAAGCTGATGCTTCAGGGTTTTAAGTTGAACTGCTCAGTGCTGCATACATAATCGGAGTACTTACACTGACCTTGCAACCTTCTCTGATTTATTGCATCCAGAACAATGAGCCATCATTATGTGTTGCTTATAAACAGATTAAAATTGTAAAATAGGGTTTAACTGGTCAGTTTTTGGCATTGGCTTTTGAATATTACTATGCATCCCTACCTTGGAAGATAATTTCCTCATGTGCATTTTCCTATGAGTAATTCAAAGCTAAATACTCCAGAGCCTGAAATCATATTTTGAAATCTGTTTCAGAAGCTGGTGATATGACGTTAAAAACCTTGTGATTAATTATTTAGTGAAATGAAGTCCCTTGTTGCAAGTGAATAATCATCCTCTTCCTAAATAAATTTCATTAAGCTGAATTTTCCCTTTGTGTTTCATTTTTAAATCAGAGCATTATTTTTTCACTTTAAAATGTAGTTTATGTTTTCCTTTCTTGGTCAACTCTCCAGAAAAATCTAAATTTCAAACCCACCATCAGTCCCCAGGAAGGATTTTCAAATATCCTATTTAACATTACCTTTTCCTGTCACACATTCATTTGTATTTGCCTAAATAGTGGCTGTTTGTCAGCTGCAATTGATTCTCCCTCTCCCCCCTTTTCCCCTCCCTCCCTTGTTCTATTACTCTCCTCCCCTCTCTTCTTCCTCTTTCTCCCTCTCTCTCTCTCGTTTTCTCTTTCCCTCTTCTCTCTCTCACCTGTGAGTCATTACAATTTCAGTAGACTCACAATAAAGGGTTCAGAACCTGTCGCCCACACCTTACTGTAAGTGAAAGGAACTAGAAGACAGCTTTCTTCTCTTGTAAATGTCAAGTGTTCAGCCTGTCTCCATTGGGGGCTGAATAGAAATGTAACCTGAAAGAAGTGAGTCCTTGGGTCTGAGCAAAACTGTAAGCATTTAGAATCCCAAACCGACTTCTCCCCAAGTGCCTACCATCGGTGCTTCTCCCTTCTTCCAGTGGGCTTAACTCTCTGCAGCCCCAGCGGGCAGCTGATTTGTTCTGACATGGGAGGGGGGGTGGGGGTGGAGGGAGGAGTCACGAGGCAATCCGTAGGTTATTTATTCCTTGGTTTTGGCTCAAGGGCAACTGGCAGAACTATGTACATGGGGGAGGGGAATCCAATGAGCTACTTTCCAAGTCTTCTCAAATGTTGGTTCTCCAATATGCCACGCAGCATACCATACTAAACACTAATTCTGTGTGTTGCACAAAGGGTGAAAGAAGGCGGTGGAAAACCCATACTAGGGGTTGATTTGGCTATTATTACATTTTTCATGAATAGATCTCAAAGCCTTGTGTCTACATATTTGTCCTGGGTGTCAGAACTTACTCAGGGACCTAACCAAAGTTTGTTTTTTTTCTACTGCTAGGATCATTTGGCTACATTCAGAAGGAGAGAAATGCATTTTACACAGGTGGACATGATTTGGGCTGAAGATTTGACCAAGCAATCTGAGGCAGGAAGATGAAGAAACAGCCAGGGAATTGGGAGTCAGAGAAACCAAACCTTGCCGTTTGTATTTCTCTCCAGAAAATAGCCCACAATTATAATTGCCCACCTTGTTTTGCTGCTCAGAATAACTGTGGCATGGCCCCAAAAGCCTACCGGAGCAGCCTTTGTGATTAGAAAGTACTCCACACCTTGGAGAGCCGAGGAGACATGAGAATAATTTTAAATGCAAATTAAATTGAGGGGGTAGCAGAGAAGAACATATAAAAGACAGTAAAACAAAACCTTTCAATTTTCTTAAATTAGCAGTCTAATGCGTTCTAAAGAGCAGTTCCACTCGGATCTCTTCTGTGGGGTTGCATTTTATCACAATATAAAATGGGCAGATCCATCATTTCCCTCCACTCAGTGCTCTTGACTGGAGATTGAAGGGGAAATTAGAAAGCTGCTCATTTGAGCTCACAGGCTCTGAGCAAGCTCCACTCGGCTTCATTTCCTGCTCTCCTGCGTCCTGTTGCAAGGAGGTCAACAAGTGCTGGTGAGTCTCCGCTAACTTTAAGAATCTTCCTTTTGTCTATCTTTCTGATTGCCTTTCCTTAGGGGTGCAAGTGTCTCGGGTAAGATTTGTTCTAATGTTGTCTTTCAAAATCTGCAGAAATTTCAGACAGCTTTTTAAAGCTGCTCCCAGTGACTGATTCGCAGAAGGAAAGAGTTATTTTCAGCCTACATGCTGAAGAGTGTTTCTGTGTATTAATTCTAAGAGGAGACTATTGAATATATGTTAGCTAAAATGACCTTTATCCATCATCTTCCCATTCAGCAGGAAGTGGGTAGAGTACTGGTGCACCCTTTCAATGTCTAGATTAACTTTCTCTTATTCATCCCTTAATCTTATGATGGATGCTATTCTTCTGTATTTGTGAATCCAGTGGGGATTTAGGATTGTAACAATAAAGTATTAAATGGTCATTCTGGGATGTAATGACTATCATACTTATAGACATAGGAGATGGGGGAAGGGAATGGGATGGCCCTCATTCTAAATCTCCATGTAGATTTTGGTGGAGGGTTTTTTTTTTTTGGTTTTTGTTTTGTTTTTTGCCAAAGTTTTACATGGGAAACATGATTTTCTTCCTTCACAGAGGAGGGCACAGAGTGGCTGAAGCTGGCGTCACCTTCCGTTGCTAAGGTAACGTGCGCTGGCCATATTATCTGATAAAGGAAGTCCACTGGATGGAATACATTATTCATCACTGATCTAATCAAACAATCAAAATTGTTTACTTTCTCTGGGAATATTTAGTGAGATCAAAGACAGCTGGCTGGAACTGCCCTTGTTTGGCTACAGGCGGACAGTTAGCCCTTGATTTTTTTTCTTTTCTTTTTTTTACAGTAAGTATAATTTGCTATTGGGGGACCTGTGGGTGTTTTTTTAAAAAAGTTTCCTCATGCTAGATTTGATTTCTTAAATTAAGATGTATACTATTAGGAAGAGAAAGAAATCAGATTAATTTTCAGATTTCTGATTTTTGTCTTGTTATTTCTGCTTTGAACATATCCTACACAAATAGAGATACTTCTTGTGTGTAAATATCAGGTAAAGGTTACCGAGGCTTCGGGAGAGCTGGGGTAGACCCAAAAGGCTGGGTGTTTTTGATAAAGTATATTAGCTTCCTGTCAGGCAAATGTATATGCTATGAAAATCATTCCAAGGCTGTAATATCGTCATCGCTCTGCCAACCACAATTATTTCCCCAAAGCCGGCTGTGGCAGGTGCAAGCAGGTAAGGATCTGTTGAACTTCCCTGAGAAGGAAGGAATTCCATGCATTTCTACAGCAAATAAGTTAGTGTGTGTGTTATAAAGATAAGGCAGCTGTGAGTGGAAGCTCAGATTCCCAGAAGATTGTCTATAAGAGGGAATACAAAAGTCTCTGGATCAGCTGAAGATCAGCCTGTTAAGGTCTGACACCTAACAATGCCATTTGTCAGACAGACCTTTTGAGAACTGATAGCCCATGAACTTAGCAGTATAATTTTCTAGTTTTAAGTATACAGCAAGGCAAGACTGGATGTTATCTCACTTTGACTTGGATCTTCTGTTTTTCCGAAGTGGAATATATTACTTTTAATGAATGTTGGCTGAAGGTTGTCTTCTCTTATACAAAAGGAAATCTCTGTTGTGGGGGAGGGGGATTTTGAGTTAGAAATGCCAGTCAAATAATGGTATATGATAATCAGATGTTCCCATTCAAAAATTTACAGTATATACATACTTCATACTTGACAGTATAAACTATTGTGGTTTTTTTTTTCCTGTATAGGTATCTAAGTGAAGATATTCTCTCCAAATCCTGTGTTTGGAACATCAACAATGGATTATCCCAAAATGGATTATTTTCTGGATGTCGAGTCTGCTCATAGACTCTTGGATGTGGAGTCAGCTCAAAGATTCTTCTATAGCCAAGGAGCTCAAGGTAATAAAGCTCAAGGAGGAAAAAGGAAACTCCTTTCAGTTGCATGCTGGGTTTATAACAGTATAGGGTCAACTAAAACAGTTTAAGCTCTGTCCCCCAAAATTTAATAATTGGCATTCATAAATTGATAAACCTCTACCTAATTGCTGCTGGAATTGAGTCAGGCATAGTTTAGAATAAATCAGTTATCCTTCTTGAAGATAGTTTTAAAAAATGCACTCAACTTTGGGTACAGTCTGAAAGCTGTTTTAATCAAAAGATTCTCTACCTACCCCAAATATATATCTAAAAGGAATTAAGGATGCTTTTCTTCCTAGAAAACTCTAGGCTTGCAGCCACTACCCTTAAAGAAACCTCAGGTCATTCTGCCCTGGATGAGAGAAATCTGTCTAGATTAGGGACTCTGGAGATAATCATGGAAATTCTCTCTCTAGCTGTACTTTGTTTTATATGGTTTCCAGTTACTGTGTTTGAGAATTAATGGTGCATATGCAAGGAACAGTAAGAAATGCCCTTTCTAGGAAGTGTAGCTGATGGGTAGATTCTCAGTACCTAATTCATTATGATCAATTACACTCCAGCATGCTTGCTCTTCTGTTCAAGGATTCTCTGGAATGTTTTGTCATAAGCTGGATTTCCTGGTGGGTAGGATACTCTTTATTTAGAAGCCTAGTTTATGTTTTCTGTGGAAGAAGTAAGGTGTTTAATTAAAGCAACCTGCTAGTGGTCATGTCCCAAATGCTACAGGCGATACCTTTTTATAACTAGAAATGCACTTGAACTTGGAAGTCTCAAAGCAGAGCTGAGGAGAGTTTTTCAATCCCAGCTTCTTTCACTGTTACCCAGTGAGGATCTCCTACCTGGCACTGATAATATTCTACTGTGGCTTTCCCCAAGTGGTCTTCTTATTTGTTTTAATCTCATTCTGAAGCAAATTGCTAGGCTTGAAAACCTCCCCCTTCCCTGCCCCCTTCCCCCCCCCCCCCCCCGTCAGCCTGTCCTGTTACAGTCAGGAGGGACTGGGAATGATCTAGTGTACAAGGGTCACTTGTTTATCAGTAGAGCGTCGATTAGCAAAAGGGGTTTTAAAAAATACAATAACTAATTCTCACTCTGTAAAAGGAAGGATACAGCATTACCACTCTCAGCTGAGGCCACTTAGAGACATGAAAGTGTCGTTGGAGAGGAAGAGGGGTGGGGTACGATCAGGACCTCCAGCCAGTACTGGCTCTGAAGGAGGAAGGTTCTAGAAGTAGATCAGAGTAGAAGCTGGAAGGAAAGGGGGATGAGGGAAAACTGCATCCCATACCAGGCCCGAGTTTCTACATTGCTACATCTGCTGGGTTCTGTCTGAATGCCAGATACATGGTTTATGGCAATCCATCCACCAGAGCAGCACAGATGTGGGTGGAACAAGAAACATTAATTCTCCAGAATAAAAAGCTCCACTTTGCACTGAGGACAGATTAACCCTTGAAGAAGAAAAGCTCCCAGCTTTCATGAAAGAGAAGTGGGCAGAGGTGTGGGAGGCTCAGAGAACTTGAAGTCTGGAGGCTGTCAGCAGATGGAGCTGGGGGTGGAGTGGTCAAAATTGTCACCATCAGTGACTGTGGTTAAGACTCCAGAGTAGAGAGACTGGAAAATCCATGGGAGGTGGTAGCATAAGCTACAACTCTTCTCTGGGGTCATGTTCATTTCAGAGAAATTAGGGTCAAGGAACCAAAGGATCCTGGGCCAGCAGGAGAAACTGGTGTTCCCATAACACCAACTAGGCCATTACTCTCAAGCCCCCAGATTGAACAGATCTGAAATGTAGGTATTTCAGAAATGTGGAGAGTTTACATTTCAACTGGAGCACCAGCAATAGTGACAGATGCAGCCTGTGCCTCTAGGGACCTAGATTTAGGAACCATCCCTTTCTGTTTCTCTCCTTCTGCTTGTAAGCAGAAGCATGTGGCTGCAGTTGCAGTATTAGAAGATAGTCCTCTACAAGATGGAAGCAGCAATCATGACCTAAGATCATTCCTGAAAGGTTTTAAAATGCTTAACACAAATTCTACCACACAAGGCATGCTAAACACCAGTAAATCAATTAAACCATCATCCCTGACAGAAAGAACGTGAAAGTTCACAAGGCCGCCACGGCATTGCAAATAAAGAGATCTTCCCTGATAGAAAGCTTTAAATATCCCATATCTAGCAAACTTAAATCTTTGGAAATATTCTATAAGTGTAAGCACACAATGATTTCTCTCTTGTCTCACCAAAACTCAGATTAGATAATGACCAAAAAAACAATATTTATATTGTTCTTCATCTGCCTAGTTCTTTGTTTTGTCATAAATATGAGGGGAACACCTTCCCCAGAGATCCACTCCTAAGGCCTATCATCCCTGGAGTCGCTTCCTTTCTGGAGCCTTTTCCATTAAGACTCCAGATTTTCAATGTACAGCATTGTCTCCTCTAGGTTGGCTTCTTTCCATGTTGTATAGACTCCCCAGTCTGACCTTGACAACAAGCCCCTATGCCTGGTGAAAGGCTCTGAGACAATGGGTGAAGGGCTGAGTACCATGGCCTACACACTTTCCTTCCTTTCCCTCCACACACCAAATATGCATGGGTTTTAGTGCATGGCTCTAGCATGTATTTAAGCAATGACAAGGCTCTAAGGAGAAAGAAGGAGAAGGGAAGGAAGGCAGCATTGTGAATACACTTTTAGAAAGGAATATAGATGAAGGGATATAAATGAATAAGGAATATAGATGAATCTCACTCCAGGACAGCTTTCTGTTAAGACAATCTCATCTGGAATATTAGGATTTGGATCCTAGGGATAAAATTCCAATATTACATATCCTTTCCTATAAATGTCTAGCTGGGGACACTGTACAGAATTGAGTACTTGGAACTTCAGCGGCCTAAGCCTGTTGGATAAAACTGTTGTGTCTTTATTGAAATTTTTAGTTGTCCCTTAAGCAATTTCAGTGTTCTTACAAATGCAAGTATTTTAAAGACAAAAGCAAGATCATCTTTCATTTTCCTCTCATTTTCTTTATGATTTACCCATATATAAATTTACTGTTCTTGTTCATGAAGTGCTAGGAAAGCAGAACTTGTTATATTAATCATGCACAAAAGCATTATCCGAAGCAACTAATGCAGAATTATGTTGTACTTCATAGTTGTTTTTTAAATTTTCTTGAAAGCAAAATGAGGGAAGCCTGCCCTAAGTAGAGTACTTTAAGAAGGAAAAAAGATAATCTATGATGGCACAGATTCCTTGGAAGTCTTAGAGATTTTCAAAGGCCAGGGAGCTATACTGTTAAATAAAGCGGCTTGTTATTTTTTTTTTACCAACCCCATTCTTTTTTGTTTTGACTTCAAAGTGGGGAGAACCTCCTTTGGGAGTTCTGCTTTTCAAAAGTATGGAGCCGAAATAAAGGCTGGGAGTCTCCTACTGGTCTCTTGTGGCTGCAGGATGATGCTTTTCTGGTTAATCAGAGAGGGATTCATTGCTGGTATATCCTGCTAACAGAGAAGGCACTTGGTGGATGATTGGGGAGATATGTGTGACTTCAAAGATCAGCTCGATCCTGGTGTTACATAATTTGGATTCACCCATCTTTCAGTTTTCTGACAATGATCTCCTACAGACTCGACAGTTGTTTGATAACCAACAACTGAACTGGGAGAGAACCTATATTATATGATCAGTATCAGGAGCTTCTTGGCTTGGAATGGATATTAGAAATCAGTGATTCACTTAGGATCTTCCTTAAACTAGAGGAAACACAATCTGGACAGATGTGTTCAGGCCCTGTGCTATTATTTTCAACAGACTCCTGGGGTTATTCTAATGAACACTGAAGATTGAGAGCTATAGTGATGGACATCATTCACTTGCAACTTGGTCCCAGATAAGCATCCCCAGCTTCATCCAAAAGCTTGGTAGCAATGCACAATCACAGGCCCCATCCTCAACCCAGAGACTCAGAATCTGTCTTTTTAACCGGTTCTGTAGACTGTTTATGTTGAAGTTTTATTAATGTTGAAGCAATGGTTGTGTCCATGGCATGTTAAAAACACCTGAGGAGTTTTTTCAACCACAAGCCTGAAAACATATAGAAGTCTAATTGAATCCAAATCTCTAGGGAGGGTGTACATCTAGCCAATCCTTTTAACTACACCCAGGGGATTCCAATGGCCACTTGTTGCTGAGATCTAGGCCCCGTCCATTTTATAGTACAGGAGGTCTTATCACATCATATCCTGTGGGTTTTTCTTTTTTCCTTTTCCTTTTCTTTTCTTTTTTTCACTACTGGAGCTAAAAAGCAGAACCTTTCTCATGTTAGACAAGTGCTCTGTCCCTGAGCCTCACTCCCATATCCAAGATCTTCCCTTTTAAATGAATCCAAACAATTTAGACTAAAAAAAAAACCAAAACAGTGTATCAGGGAATTCACTTTACATATTCATTGTGTCTATCAATCCTCAAAGAAATTGGGGGAAATAGGAATTACAGCCCTGCGCGTATGTTGCAGATTCGAAACTTTCACAGCTTCGTGGATAGGATTGTAGACTTGGAAAGCAGTTAAGTAAGGATTTGATTCCAATATGCCATACTCCAAAACCCAAATCATTTCCTTCAAGTTGCTTCATGCTGCTGGCTGGGCTGAGGTACCTTCTCAACCCAGTCAGGTTGAGAAAATCATCATCATGCAGTCAGTGAATATGACATTGGTGGCCAGAACACACTAGAGAGGAAGTTGGACCTGCTCTCCATAATCTCACCACATTTGTGCTCTTCTCACTGGCCAAAGTATCTTCCCCAAGATCATCCATATCCTTGGATATTCAAATTATCTTCTAAAGAGAAAGTACATTTAAAAACAGCCAATTAACTAAAGCTTCTAAAACTGGAAACTAGGCAATAATATATAGCTCCTGCTAACAATCCCCTCTCTTGTTAAAAAAAATCATTTTACATAACTCAGGGTATA